TGCCCACAAGCAAAAGCCCCTCCCAACATTCAGGGAACAACAGGAAAACGATGGGAGTTGATTCACCTGAAAGGCAACGCAGGGGCCAAGACGATGAGAAGCATGCCTGGTGATCTGGGGCTTAAGATGGCTCTAAAAAAAATTAAAAAAAAACAAACCCCAAACCAACCTTTTATGTTCAGAAACATGCTATCCTCCCCTCAAAACACGAACTATTCCTAGCTCCCGAAAATCTTGACTAAAACCTTTCAAACCTCCCTTTAAAACGTGAGACAGACTCAGTCAACTCAAGGTGAACCGCCATGAGATGAGACCACCCAAGACTTACTTTAAAAACTGGCCCATGCTAAACAACAAAACAAAACCTAGGATGCTGTAATACAACAAATCTACCTACCTACAGCTTTGGACATTTTCCTCTATTTACCTCTATATTTTTTTCAAACAGGAGATTATTCTCTAAGAAACCCATTCAAACCAACCTTCTTTTTGTAGCTTAGAATTTAAGAAGTCAAAACTCATCGCAGAACCTTTTCATTTGGGGTAGGTTAGTGTTTTTCTACCTTGAAAATAACTTGAATCTGGAGGGCTTTTTTTTTTTTTTTTTTCCCTGCTATGCAGCGAACACAAGAACATCCAAAACCTGTTTTCTACGCAACACTTTTTACCCGCAAATCACCAAGAATGGAAGGAGATGTTCAACTGAGGATCCAAGACTAATAGCCAGAGATCCCATGTAGGCAGTGCCGTAGCAGCCACCGGAGGGGAAGACGAAGATGCTTGATGATGAGATGGGAATGAGCAAGTGGTCTCCTATCCAGCCAAACCGCCCCAAGTTTGGTCTCCAACACTGTCCTTTTTTACCCCAAGTCCCTCCAGCCACAATGACCATTTGTTCCCTCTTAAGGTGCAAACGCGGCTCCCCGAGACGTTTGGAAAGGGCCCCTTTGGGACCCCCTTGTGAAATCTGTGCTTGTCTCCACTATTACTACTTTACACTAGAAACTACAAATTACTTCATTTTTCCCGATCTCCATACAAATATAAAAGATGAAGCTACCCAAACCCCAACAATCTAATTATACTACATTACAGTGCCAGAGATCATTCCTAAGCCCCTATCTGTATTCCCACCTCCATTCCTCTCCCTACGTTCCTCAGCTTCCTCTGGCCAGGGGAAATCTCCAAGTGCAGCTAAAGCTTTTTTTTTTTTTGCACTAACACACATAATTTAAGGAAATAGGGAAAAGACGGCAAATTAAACAACATTAAGGTTTACACAGTTAGTACAGACTACGCCAAATGCTTAAAAAAATCCTTTCTACCTTCCTGGAGCTCACCTGGCTTTCTGAGCAGCGCCCAGCCCAGAATATATCAAGATTCTCCATAACCAGCTTTTTCTTCTGCCCCCTTTTAGCAATGAAATTGGAAATCTGGTAATGGGAGCCCTTGGCCAAATCTCTGCACTGGCAGGACCCTGAATTTTCCCAAAGTTAGATCTTATTTCTTCCTAAACAGTGAGGAGAAGTAATCCCCCCCCTCCTCAACTCCTGGAATATCAAGGTTCAGATGCCAGATACAACACATTCATCTCCACCACTCGACAACAGCAATTAGCTTAAAATAAAATAGAAGGTGAGGAGAAGTAATCCCCCCCCTCCTCAACTCCTGGAATATCAAGGTTCAGATGCCAGATACAACACATTCATCTCCACCACTCGACAACAGCAATTAGCTTAAAATAAAATAGAAGGAAAGTGCTGATGTTAATAGCAAAGGCTGACTTGCTTCTAGTGTTTTAGTCATCATGGATAAAGTGCAGAGGTAGGGGGATTTGAAGGTATCTGGGATGATGTAAAGGGTTAAAATGGGGGACGCAAAGAAAAACCACTGCTGCAGGCTCCATTTTTGGAGAAAACAGCTTTAGCTAACACGCTTCTGCTGGGATTTCTTATTGACTGAATCTCAATTTGTTTTTAATTTGCTCATAACACGCTCAAAGGGCATAAAGAGCCTGGCAAGTGGGTTCCATAAAAGCAACGAGAAGGGCTAAAGGCGCGACGAAGAACAGAAAAGAGATGGGTGAACAGAGTGAAAGCGAGGGGAACGCTTTCTGCAGGTTCTCCAAGTGTCAGCCATATATTGCCTGTTTCTGCACCTGGACGGCTTCAAGAACATCCTTTGCAAAGTGCAAACACATCCCCTGAAAAGCATGCAGAGCCCAGAGACCTCGGATGACAAAGTCAAGCCCTGGTGGGCTCCAACCATAAAGAACTTCCTCCCTCCTGGCTCTCAGCTGTGGTGGGAAGGGGCTTCCCCTGCTCTGCTTCACCATGCAAGAAGGGGATGGAGTCTATGCTGGCCCTCCTTCTTCACCAGGTGGCCTGTCCCACTAGTTTAGGAGGTGCCACTCCATTTCTCACAGCCATCCAGCCAAACCCCTTTGGAAAGAGGATGCTCTAAGTCCACACTTAGGTCTGTTCTCCTATTACCAGAGCATCACCAGCTCTAATGACAGAGAAGGTCTCTCCAGACTTGGAGGACACAATGCTGGATGATCTTCTCTCTTTCAAAGGGATGGCTGCTGCATGCACGACCCGGTACCCTCAGCATTTTGGGGGAAGTCATCACACAGCCCGCACCACTTCAACATAGGTACTGCCAAGGCTTACACATCCCAGGGAAAAAGACCTACGTTTAGGTTAAAAGCAACTGGTTACTGCCTAATTGAAGTACGAGGTTATTAGTTGGCAAGCCTGGATATATAATTTTTCCTATAATAAAGTGGAATTTCCTCTCTTAAAAATATTATTCTGTGTTTTTTCAATGTTCGCCTTTTTATGAAAGGAGTGTATAATTCTAAAAATATTCTGTGTTTTTTTCAACGTTCGCCTTTTTATGAAAGGAGTGTATAATTCTTCTACCCGAAATCTACGTGACAGCCTGGTTGCCCTTGTTTCTCAAACATCACTCTCAGCTTTGTAAAGAGGAAGGTGGCCCAAAGAGAGCATTAAATTACGTACAGAAAATATTTTCAATTGAGAAAAAAAAAAGCTCATAAACGGAATACGCATTGAGAACTTAACGTGCCTACCGTGTATTTGAAACAGTGGACTTGGCTTTGGGATAAAAATGCCCTTGATGCTCCCAGGGGATTCTTCTACCCGAAATCTACGTGACAGCCTGGTTGCCCTTGTTTCTCAAACATCACTCTCAGCTTTGTAAAGAGGAAGGTGGCCCAAAGAGAGCATTAAATTACGTACAGAAAATATTTTCAATTGAGAAAAAAAAAAGCTCATAAACGGAATACGCATTGAGAACTTAACTTGCCTACCATGTATTTGAAACAGTTGACTTGGCTTTTGGATAAAAATGCCCTTGATGCTCCCAGGGGAAGAGCAGGCAGCTATAGCACCTCTGGGACCATGAGCCACGATTCCCAAATCCCTGCTGTGTCCCCCACCCTGGGAAAGGGGTGCGAAGCTTGTGAGCACCAAGACACAGTGGGCTTCACAGCATCCCCTTCAGCTGCAGGTTAGATGGGTTGTCCCGTGGCTGAAGGACCCACCCGTCAGTACCAAAGACCAGGGAAGCTGTATGGGAATGATGGAGAAATAGCAATTATAACAGACACCCTTCCTCAATTATTAAAAAAAAATTAAAAAAAAAATGATTAAAATTATCCCGGTATGAAGAGGATCAGCTGTAGCCTTACTCTGATGCAGCCAGCTTGGGCTGGCTGAAGAAAGATTACCCATTCCCCCCCACCCCCAAAATAGTCAAAGGTCTATACAGTAACAAAGTACAAAATAAGAACACCACTGAATAGGAAAAGCTGGTCGATAGTTTTGTGCTTCCACCTTGAGGCTCGCTTTTCTCCTACAGTTTGATGATTTTACATCAAATCTATAATTTTCTGATTATTTTTTTTTTCCTTAAGATAACCAGATTGCATTTTTGCCTTTACATTTTGTCCAAATATAGTTTTCTTTAGCAATCACTATGCTCCTGCCATTTGTATCACGGAGCCCCAAGGAAGAGCACCACTGAAGGCTTGGGAAATACATCTCGAGCAGGTAGATTTGCAAATTACTATGCTGTGTGCACCTCACTGCCTTCACATAATTGCTCCTTTGCCATCGAGCCGAATGAAACCCGGAGCCCCAAGGAAGAGCACCACTGAAGGCTTGGGAAATACATCTCGAGCAGGTAGATTTGCAAATTACTATGCTGTGTGCACCTCACTGCCTTCACATAATTGCTCCTTTGCCATCGAATTCAGTTGAGTTTTCAACTTCCTCTGTGATCTACCCTTCCCCCCGCTTCACATTGCCATATGCCACTTAAAAAACAAAAATAAAAAAATTAAAAAATCGGAAAAAAAATTGCTTTTCTGCCTGCTGAAAACTGCACAGCCTGCTTCCCTGCGCCAGAATCCTACTTCATTGGAAATAAGGAGAAGCTGGGATCTGCCCGGTAATACCAAAATAATCAAATCAAGTATTAAAACTTAGAATTCAAATGAACTGTCCAGGCTACTTTCACAAGCCATTTTTCTTCCAGAACGCAGCCAAGTTGGGAGTCAAGCAGAGCCATGTCCTGCCCGCCGCGGTGAAGGCTATCAATTCTGAACTTAATCAAATCTGATCTTCCCACAGCCAGGCTAGGGCTTTTTGTCTTGGCTTGTGAAAGCTTTGTGTCTTCTGGAGTAAAATATATTTACAGTGCTGAAAAACAGCCTCTTTTTCCTTTCTAAAAGGTCTTGGACACACTTTTTTTTTTTTTTTTTTCCATGCCAAATGTGCCACAATCTCTTTCTGATATGTTCCTCAAAGGCTTTGTGATGAAAACAGGAGTTCACTGCTGGGAATATTTTCAATGTACAATGATCTGTAACCCACAGATCCTAACTAGTTGCACATTATTTAGTTCACATCCATTACAGTTTATAAATTAACAGAGATGTCATTTTCTGTACAAAAAAAAAAAAAAAAAATCAATGCATATTTACGTTTTTTTTTATTCAAATAGATTTTACATACATATAATCTAGAGACACAATACAAAAATCTGTATAAGTTAGGCAATGCATCACAGGAGTGACCAAAAACTCAACACATTTACCTTGGCAAAATGACAGAACCTATTTCTGCTGGCTGAAAAAATATTAGCCTTTAATGCGTTTATTAATTTCACTAAACGTACTTGAAATGTTTTTCCTTAGCGGTATTCATTATTCCTTTTTGTGTTTCATAGTTACTCTTATTTATTTTTTCCATTTTGTTTTTACACCAAGGAGACTGCAGTCAAATAACACTCAGCAACTCATTTCCTCTCTTTGGACTGAAAAATTAAACAGATACTAAATTATGACAGTGAATTTAGAAAGGAGGGCTCCAAGGGGTTGAAAGAACATGTCTGAGATAATATGATGCTTCTAAGAATATTGCAATCACATCCAAGCAATCACCGAAGCGTGCCATGTAACTACCTCCTCAGCTAATATGCTTTTTTCTCCGTGATGACTAATCATGTTCTATTAAACAGCGGTAATGCTGGAAGAACTCAACTATACAAGTGTAATGAAGCCAGTATTCTCCCTGGACAGATTAGCTACAACTGATTTGACACATACCATCATAGGAGCTTCAAACCTGACAAACTCTGTGCTTGCTTCTGATTTATGCCGTCAAGCTCTTCAGAGAAGAGAATGGAAATCCAGGCGTCGCGTTCGGTAGAGGTGAAATGTACTGAATGTGCTTAACTGTCAGTTACGGAAAGTCACCGTCTCTCCTTCCTTCTTCTCTTGCTCGCCTCTCCCTCCACCCCTTCCCTCCACACCTGGGGAGCCTGCATCCCCCACCCCCCAACCCCTCCACCTCCACCGTGGTGGGGGACGACCGCTCTCCCGTGGTCCTGGTGCCACTCACGGCGTGTCCCGCTCAACCCACACGCTCTCGCCCGCTCGTTTCCATCATTGGAGAGCTGTCACCGAAACAACTGCTTTCCCTGCAGCCCCTTTTTTGCTCCTTCTCATCCCCTTGTGCTGTTTCCGGATGGGACAGGGAACGTACCAAAGGGAAAAGGGGAAAAAAGGAGAGTTACCAGACTCACAGAGCAGAGCTGTGATGGGGATGGAGGAATATGAGGCTGCGGATGTAATTCAGGTCAGCGAATAACATGAGTGAGCTCCTCAGATGATGGTGGGCATCCTTCCACTGCTGTTGTTCCGGTTATTGTTCTTCCTGGACAAGTTTGGAGTGGCCATAAGGACGAAACGCTCGTCGGGGCAGCCGTACTGGAGGAGAACGTCAATGCACTCCTGGCTGGAGGCCTGCCGGGCGTAGGCCAAGGCTGTGTTTCCATGGGCATCGCGGGCCATCACGTCGACTCCATACTACAGAAAGAAGAGATGTGTTGTTGGAAGCTGCAGTGCCAACAGGGCGTTGAAACGGAGGGAGCAAACTCGGGACAGACTGGTTTGAATGGAACTGAGGATGGGGAGAGGGAGAAGGGAGCAGGTGGGACACCAACCTGACAACACAAACAGCACCGAGTTATCACAGAATTGTTCAGGTTGGAAAAGACCCTTGGGGCCTGACAACACGAACAGCACCGAGTTACCATAGAATCATTCAGATTGGAAAAGACCCTTGGGATCATCGAGTCCAACCATCAACCCTACTTGACAAAGCTCTCCCCTACACCATATCCCCCAACACCACATCTAAACGACTCTTCAACACATTCAGGGATGGGGACTCAACCACCTCCCTGGGCAGCCTATTCCAGTGTCTGACCACTCTTTCTGGGAAGAATTGTTTCCTGATGTTCAGTCTAAACCCACCCTGTTGCAGCTTGAAGCCATTCCCTCTTGTTCTATCGCTAATTACCTGTGTGAAGAGACCAGCACCAACCTCTCTACAATGTCCTGTAGAGAGTGATGAGGTCTCCCCCAGCCTCCTCTTCCTCAACCTAAACAGTCCCAGCTCCTTCAATCACTCTTTATATGATTTATCCTCTAGGCCTTTCACCGGCTTCGTTGCCCTCCTCTGCCTCTGCTCCAGCACCTCCAGATCTCTCTTGGATTGAGGTGCCCAAAACTGGACCCAACCCCCAAGGTGTGGCCTCACCAGTGCTGAGTACAGGGGGACAATCACCTTTGTGCAACACTTTTTTATCACATTGCTGTCCTTTGAGAGCACGCAACGAGGAACATCTAGACTTGAGACACAAGCAAAGGCTTTGTGGAACCTGCAAGTAGGAGGTTTGGGACACCCTGCTGAAGGACACAGCCAAGTGAAAGCCAACCCAGCCAACCCCCTTGCCTGGTCACCAAGTACTTACCCAGATCAAGAGCTGCACTAATACCACGTTCCCTTTCCTGCACGCCAAGTGGAGGGCAGTACGCCCATCACCATCTCCGCAGGTCTCGTTCACCTCTTCCCGGGTCCCGTGGGCAAGGAGCAGGATGACCATCCGCAAGTCCTCCTCGGCTGTAGCCCTCAGGAGATGCTGGCCCAGAGAAAGCTCCAGGCACTGCAGTGGGGCAAGGAAGAGTTTCTGCTCGTATTTCGCACGTATCCAGCGCTCTTTTTCTTCCCTAGAGAAGCCAAAGGAGATAGGTCACACTAACGTGGTTTCACTGCCTCTAAGCGGTGGCATTTTGGCTATGGGAATGCTAGCAAACAGTAGGTAACCCAAAAGAAAATTATTCTCCCTTCAAATTTTTGGCAAGAAAGCCCCCATAGGAACAGTTCATCCAAACTTCATCTTTGTGGTGATATTTGTGTCACCCACCTCACCATTACCGAGTCTTATTATTGCAATATCCGAGATCCCCCTAGGTAGATGCTGTGAGCATGTGGGGTCACATGAGCATGTGGGGTCACCACAACAGCCAGGAGCTCTTAAAAACCCCTGGACTTCCCTGAGGGCTGGTAAGAGGTCAACGCACAAGCCCTCGCCATCACGCAGGCCAAAGACAAAACAGGCAGCCTGGTTCCACATCAGGGTTAAGGTAGGCTGCAAAATATGTTACAGAAAATGCACCAAATTTCTGCATCTAAGACCAGAAGTAACCAAAAACCCATGCTTAGATTTTCAGTTCTACAAGTGGAGCAATGTTTCCAACGCTAAAGGCATAGGATCATAGCATCATCTAGGTTGGAAGGGACCTTCAAGATCATCCAGTCCAACCATCAACAAAAAGGAATCAGAAAGAAATCAGAAAGAAATTTTTTACTATGAGGGTGGTGAGACACTGGAACAGGTTGCCCAGAGAAGCTGTGGCTGCCCCATCCCTGGAGGGGTTCAAGGCCAGGCTGGATGGGGCTTGGAGCAACCTGCTCTAGTGGGAGGTGTCCCTGCCCATGGCAGGGGGGTTGGAGCTAGATGATTTTTGAGGTCCCTTCCAACCCTAACCATTCTGTGATTCTATGAAAAAAACAAAAAAAAACAAACCCCAAAAAACCCCCAAACAAAACCATCACTAAACCATGTCCCCCCAGCACCAGGTCAACCCCCTCTGTTTGTTTTTTCCAAAATGCCAACCCACCGAAACAATACTTTGAAGCACCATTTCCTCCTGATAGGTCAAAGAACTCTCAGAAGCTTTCTGGCTGCTATTACCTTACAGGGTAACAAGGACTACAAACAAGTCTCTCAACCCTCCATTAAAAAAATTACCATACAATTATACCATCTAAGAGATCTAGCTTTAGACAAAGTCCCATTTAGAGGTACCTCAGGTAATCTGTCCAGCCTGTGAAAACCAGATATATCACCTAAACCAAGGGACTTGTTACTGGTGACAGATCTTCTCCCCTGGACTACAAAAGGCAAAGCTCTGTTTACGCCTTTCAGCCGTGTTTACACTACTCCCGGTAATCTAGTGTCAGGTTAGCCCTAATCTGTTTTTAAATACTTATGTAAACAGATCCTTCCAACAGCAAATCTGGATTAGTTTTGCATCATTTCCTGGTACATGTGGAGTGACCTTGCTTTGACCTCCCGGGATGCTTTCAGGCACAGCTTCCCAAAGCATCCGCTTCTTCCACCCCAGCACAATTTAACTCACAAACAGGTCCACCAGGGCTTTTTTTTTTTTTTTTTTTTTTTTTTTAGCAGGGAAAAAGTACAAACAGAAAATTAACACAAAGAGTGCTTCGTTTACATCAAACCTTTGAAAGGCTCCTGCCAGCTAAAAGACACGCCGCAAAAACCCCACATTTGGGGAGATGCAAATTAACCTTTGATGGCAGGATCTGATAAAGAGTATCATTTCATGTATTCCAGATGGAGAGGAGGAAGAAAAAGACTTCTGTTACTACTGCGTCTTTAATTCATGGTGGGTTTTTTTTTTTTGCATTTGTAGTTTTTTTAAGGTTAAAAAAACCAAATCAGAACCAGTGCCATGAGGAAGATGAAGTAACATGCAATTATTTACCATAAAATGGACATTCCTGCAACACTGCAACAGTTCTAGTTCCAGCATCCATCTAGAGTATCTGGTTTTTTTTTGCATTTGTAGTTTTTTAAGGTAAAAAACCACCAAATCAGAACCAGTGCCATGAGGAGAATAAAGTAACATGCAATTATTTACCATAAAATGGACATTCCTGCAACACTGCAACAGTTCTAGTTCCAGCATCCATCTAGAGTATCTTCAAGAAATTTTAGCAAACACTTACTGTTGTTTTTTTTTACACACCTATAGAGGTATTGAGAGCATAATCAATACATCCACTACGTTTAAAATGCCCCAGACTGAAAAATGAAGTGACTCAACCTGCGCTGTTCTGCAACGGTGACACACATCAGGGCTTAGAGAATTTATTTCTCCCGCACCCATACATCCTCCTAAAGGCAAAATATACCTCAGACACCTAACTGATACAATTTTTTTAGTCTAGCAAAGAGTCTGCAGATGAATTCCCCCTCTCCTCCAGACCATCTTTCCAGTGATAGTAACTCTTGGCTCTCGTCAGAGCATTGGGCTACTGGTTTGCAGACTGGTGGGCATGGTTTTCACATCTGCCTCACGTTGCAAGGGAGCAGCACGACGACAGGTCAGAGTGGGCAAGAGAGCAGGGACAGACACTGATTGTCAGTTGGGGGCTGACCTGCTGGAGAGCAGCTCCCATCTGCCTCACGTTGCACGGGAGCAGCACGACGACAGGTCAGACTGGGCAAGAGAGCAGGGATAGACACTAATTGTGAGTTGGGGGGTGACCTGCTGGAGAGCAGCTCTGAGGAGAAAGACCTAGAGTCCTGGTGGATAACAGGATGCCCATGAGCCAGGAATGTGCCCTTGTGGCCAAGAAGGCCAATGGCATCCTGGGGGGCATCAGGAAGAGTGTGAGCAGCAGGTGGAGGGAGGTCATCCTGCCCCTCTGCTCTGCCCTGGGGAGGCCCCATCTGGAGCACTGGGTCCAGTTCTGGGCTCCCCAGTTCCAGAAGGACAGGGAACTGCTGGAGAGGGTCCAGCAGAGGCTACAGAGATGATGAGGGGCCTGGAGCATCTCCCTGATGAGGAGAGGCTGAGGGACTTGGGTCTTTTTAGTCTGGAGAAGAGAAGACTGTGGGTCTCTTCTCTTAAGTAAGAATACTTCAAGGGAGGGGGGCAAGAGGATGGGGCTGGTCTTTTTTCAGTGGTGCCCAGGGATAGGACAAGAGGAAATGGGCACACACTTGAACAGGAGAAGTTACACCTCAACATGAGGAGGAACTTCTTTCCTTTGAGGGTGGCAGAGCCCTGGAAGAGGCTGCCCAGGGAGGTGGGGGAGTCTCCTTCTCTGGAGACATTCCAACCCCCCCTGGACACGTTCCTGTGGGACCTGCTCTGGGTGGCCCTGCTTTGGCAGGGGGTTGGACTAGATGATCTCCAGAGGTCCCTTCCAACCCCATGGGATTCTGTAACAACCCAGTCCTGATCAGGTTTATCCTACTGTCTCAAAAGGCTGAGAGAAGAACAAAAAGCCCCTTTTAGAAATAAATCCAACAGGAAGGGGAACACGCCACCTTCTGCATTAGTGATGGAGAGGATGCAAATGGTCCTTCTTTAAAGCACCCTCTTGCAGCATGATCAAGTAAGCCAGGATTCATCCCTCCACCAGAGGAAATTTGTTGCAGAGCGGGCAGCAGCTAAGGGAGATGTTGTGTCCCTCAGGAGATGCTCACCAGCACGGCTGGCCGGAGCAGGACCTTGCAGCCAGCAGCAGGCTGTGCCACCAGGCTACGTTCACCAAAAAACCCAACATTCGCACGTGGTTATTTTACGTCACTTCAGTTTCCCTCTTCAGAAAGGCCACCTAATTTTTCTTGACCACGCAGGGCACCAAAAGACTGAACTCCTTAAGACCCAATTCTACCTTTGCAGCCACATTAAGGGTCGCGGTGGAAAAAAAGCAAACACAACAAATGAAAATAAAGGTGTTCTAAAGACCTTGGACATTTGGGGGCAGCACGTCACTGACATGGGCTATCAAATGAGATCTAGATCTTACTCAACTATACAAACTGGGCAGCAGAAAGATACATCATTTGCATTCTCTGGTAGAAAATGAAACTTCTGGTAGAAAATGAATCCCAGAGGTAGGAGGAAAAACACGCTCGCCATTGTCTCACAGACAGCCAAAATGTAGAGGAACTGCTTTTGAATGAGTCATCCATGGACACCCTCCCTCCATCTCTGGCACAAACCACTTCATTTTGAATGGGAAAGTCCTGGGAGCTCTGCCACTCCCATTCATCTTCGAAATCCCGACAACAAGACATAAATACTGTAATTGTTGCTCTGATGCCCCAATTTCACTTCTGGGATCCACAGCTTGTCTTGGTTGAGGTTTCATTTCCCCCAAGGAAGGCCAGTCCAAGATCAGAGTTGTCAGCAGTAGATCACTTAACCTCATTGCAGTTCCCTGGAGGACCACTGTTCACATCCCCTGTTAGCTAATGAGCTAAAAAATGAATTATTGGAGCGGTCAGCAATAAGCAGGAAGAGGAGGCACAGTGTTTCATTTCAGCCAGTGCTGACATACTTTTAAATAAATCAACTGAAAAGAGTATGAGGAAATGTGAGGGAGAGCAACTAATCAGGAGAAAGACACCGAACCAATCCCTAAAAATAAAGGAAATGTACATCAGCTAGTAAATATTTCCCTTGTTTTCTTCCCTTAGCAGTAATCCTGGTGACTTCCACTCTAAATGACCACACCAGTGGCTTTCAGTTGGAGTTGTGAAAGCCAAAATAAGACTCTTTGTACTGAACTTTTAAAAATCCCTATTCTCAGGACCAGATTGAAGGCAGTGTGCTGGAGAGACATCATCATCCTGTGCTTGGAGGGTCCCTACGGTATTTAACACTGGAGAACATGAGCTGCTTCTTCCTCATATGTGCTAAGATGACTTCTCTTTTCTCCAGACATCATGCTAGTTGCTATTTTTTCAATACATACGCATAAAAAATTAAGAGATTATAAACTCCTAAGTAAACTTAGAGAAGGAAAAAAAATACAGTTATAAGATCAGACTTTCTTTGAGCCTTTTATCGCTGAAGCTGTGCGTTCAAACTCAGATTGGTGGTATTATCCAAGGGCCAAA